AAAAAAAAGACCTTAGCCAGTGGCTTGGGAGGCTGAGATAGGAGGATTGCAAGTTCAAAGCCAGCCTCAGCAATGAGGAGATGCTAAGCAACTCAATAAGACCCTGTCTCTGTATAAAACTACAAAATAGGTCTGGGGATGTGACTCATTGATTGACTGCCCCTAGTTCAATTCCTGGTACCAAAAAAAAAAAAAAAGACATTAGTTTTCAAATTTTGCTGCATAGTGTAATCACCTGGGAAGCTTTTAAACCATCCAGACCTAGAGAATCAGAACATGCCTTATACCTAGATCACCAGGTGACTGTTAGTACATTAATGTTTGGCAAGGTCTACTTTAAGGGGCATACTATTTTGTGGGAGGAGGATACTGGAGGTTGAACCCAGGAATGGTCTACCACTGAGCTACATCCCCAGTTCTTCTTATTTTATTTTGAGACTGTCCCACAAAGTTGCCCAGACTGATCTTAAACTTGCAATCCTCTTGCCTCAGACTCCCAGTTGCTGGGATTACAGGCAGGAATGCCCCACAGCACCCAGCAAGAGGCATACTATTACATTATTATTTTTCCAATGAAAGCTCAAAGAAGTTAAGTATCCCATCCAAGGTCACATCATGCCATTAACCTTGAACAGAGAATCCAGTCACAGGCCCGCCTGACTCCAAAGCCCAAGTCCTTCCTATGACAGTCATTTGTCGAGTGCCTGAAGAAGCAGGACCAGCTGAAGGAAAATCAACATGCTTCTAGCAAAGAGAAAAATCACATCTGACTAATGATCTCGGAAAACTRTTCTTTCAAACTGGGACAAAATAGGTTATTACAGCACATAGAAAGCCAGTGACCAGAACTCTGGATGTTAAAATGCTCCTGGCAAGGTTGTACTCAGAGGCTAAGTTACATAGGGAGTGAGGAGACCGATAAAGGAAAGTGCTTCTTCATATAGGGACCGTGGATCAGAGAAAATAAAAAGAAATAAACAAGCATTTCTCTAGACGGAAAAATGCTCAAGTGTTAGTGGATAGGACAGATCTGTCAGAAATTGTGCAAGAGAGTGCACCCAACACCACAGATGATTTGGTAAACTACCAGAGAATTTCCAGACCACGTGAGCTGACCTAAATAAATAAATAAATATAAATAAAAAGGACAGGTGAGCTTCAGTTACAGTTTTACATTTTTTTTGGGAAAATGATCCTAACTGTACTCATTAAATGATAACTGTGCACAATGAGACAGAAAAAAGGGGGGGGCAGGGTGAGAAGGAGGGAGTGATTCTCTGCTGTTCCCAGCCCCTGGCTTAATATGCTGCCACAGTGAAGACCCAGTAGCACCAGGCCAGGTGTCATCATGAAGGCTTTTCTGTGACAAGACAAAAAACATTATTCCCTTGTAGAGAACAATGATACAGCTGAATCTGGAGCACTGTGTATAGTCCCTTACTGCCTCTCTAGAGAGAAGATCCAGAGAAGGGCAGCGAAGGTTCTCCCAGGGCTATTATAAGAGACTAAAAAACAGGACTCTGCAGCCCGCAAAGACAAAGAAAGGTTAAGAGGACAGGCCTGGAAACTCACACGTCAAAATGGGTGTGAGAAG